GACAATGAATGAACTGCTCATGGACTTGGACTATGTTAGCTGTCAAGTTGGTCTTCCATAACAGCGATATTCTCCCATTTTCAGCCTTAGCACAGTTATAGTAGTAACCCTAATCCTTAGCTACCTTATACATAATATTTTTGCCTTTTTTTCTTTTACTCTGGTCTCTAGACATCCTAAGATATCTATTTTATTCTTTTGCAGAAAGATTCTCAGTTCCTTCTGCTTATGGGGCTTATTCAGCCCTCTTATGTTCCAAGTACTGATGATCATGGTGATTTTTTTATAGGATCAGAGTTATTCACCCCTTCCTGTACACCACATTCTTCCAATATTGTAAATCTATTGGAAGTGCTAGCCTCACCATTTATCCCCTGCTGGACACTTGTAGTATTCTGTCTTTCACTACTTTCCTTTCTTTGTATCATCATGCTCCTTTGGTCTGGTTTATCTGCTGAGTTCTGCCTGTCTTTGTCAAGTGGAGGTTGTAATTCATTCTCCTTTCCAATCCCCTCCTCTTGTTCCTTCTATTCTTTTGGCTTCCATTCCTGAATAACTTTCCTCCCTCTGCCTCTATTTCTTCTTTTTGGGGCCTTGAATTCAGTATCTTCCTTCTGTTTAGTTGACTTCCAGCATTCAAAGCTATCATGACCAAAATGTAAGCATTCACTACAGAATTTTGGCCTCCATTCATACACTATTTCCTGCTGTCTAGTACCTGTGGGAGTTGCAATCTCAACATTCTCTACCAGTGGCGTTGTAATGTCAATTTTCAAAAGTACTCTGGCATAGGAAATTTTGTTCAATTCTGCTGTAAATTTATCATTGTACAATGGTAAACCTACAACACTAGCCACCTTGCTTAATGCATCAGCAGTCCAATACCCAACTGATAGACTAGGTAAGTGAATCCACAAGGGAATAGTAGTGATACATTTAGGATCAAAGTGGAAATCTCTTTCCAGTTCTGCAGAATAAATGGCTTGTTATGATATGAGTATGGTCCTGCTTGCACGACTGCGTCTCTTTCCTCCACTGTTGTGAATCGAAACACATAATATCCTTCTTGGTGATACAGGATCTGGGGTTTAGTGACAAAATTCCAGACTGATTCTACATAGTTCTCCATAGATTTCTCACACGGAGTATCCCCAATACATACCCAATTAGAGCAGTCGCCCAGTATTCATTTAGCTCACTCACATCTTCTTCTTCTATTTGAATTACAATCTTACCATCTCTATGACTTGGTGGAATATACTCCAGCCTCATCCCCATCTGTGAGTTCCAGTTCTGTTGTCTAAGCTCCTTTGCATGCATGACCTTCCCTACCTCTGCTGTGGCTGTGAGATCTAGATCTGGAGATGGTTTTGAAGATCCAGCTTTAGAAAATTGCAATCGTTTTGGGCTGGTTGGCAATTGATCATTGGATTTCTGAGCTTCCTTCATAGTAACATCAATTTTACTTTTCCATTGAGTACTGTTCCCTTCTTCGTCCTCACTTAGCTCCCTTTCCTCTTGAATTGGTTGGAAACTGGGTGGTAGAAAACTTCCAAACGTTAACGGAGTGAAATTTTGAATTGCTGAGGTCGCTGGAATTATAGTTGTAGTCACCGGCGCTTGCGTCTCCTTGCCATCGATGGTGCACGTTAGCCTCCCTTGGCTTATCGTACGCCGAGAGCATTTAGGAGCATTTACAAGCCTTTTTTGCGCGCATGTATAATCATCTAGCAAGAGAGGTGCTTTTCCTTGTCGATATCCCCTGCCTTTATAAAATTTTCATATTTTATACTTTTGATCTATTGTGTAAACAGGCTTAAGGGCCGACCGCGGCGAAAATTCGAACAACTGACCCATGCTTGAGGACTGTTATCCCAAATGCAAACGGAATCAAACTGCTAGCATTTTGAGACCATAAGACCTTAAAGGCAAATCCTCAATTTTGTGGGCCACGGCCACCCCACTCGGGGACTAACACTTCGGGAAAGCTCGAAGTGAAACGAAAGAACAACCCAAAGGGAAAGTTCCGAACTAAAAAGGCTACGGCCAAATTAACGTGGATTGGAGACATCCGAAATCCGTAACAAATATAAAAGCCCTTGGGCTACCTTAGCCCGAGTTCGAGCAAACTCTCACTCGGGGACTATCTATGAAGCCTCTGGGCTAACATTACCTCGAGTTCGAGCAAATCCTCACTTGATCATAAAAGCCCAAGGGCTATCTTAACCCGAGTGCAAGCGTATCCCGAACACTCGAGCAATACTTACTAGAGCTATCTAAAGACCTCAAAGAGGCACCCCCGATATAACAGGCCAAGGCCATCACACTCGGGGACTAACATTTAAATGTTATCGGGAAACAAGTCCAAAAGACATACCTGAAGGCTACGGCCATACTAAAGACCACATTCATATAAAAAGGCTACGGCCAAAATAATGCGGCTCGGATACGTGCGACTTCCGCCATAAAATAAAGGCCTTCAAACACTTTGAAAAACCGATTAAATCAGGCTACCCTCGGCAAAAGCAAATGATAAAGGGCTTCGATAAAATCAGCCCTCGGATAATTTAAAGGCTTCGATAACATTAGCCTTCGAAAAAGCCTCAAGAGGTATTCGATTATCGTTATACAAACGAATTACAAATAAGGTTCCGATCGGTCGAACCTTCGAAAAACTACGGGTACAAAAAAAAACATATGCTAGGGCATAGAAAAATCTTCACTAAGTCTTTTAGTCGAAACGAGGGAAAAATTATAGCCGTTTTTAGAGGCCGAATTGGCCCAACTCAAAGAGCCTAAGGGCCGACCAAAAAGAGCCTAAGGGCCGATCTAAAGAGCCTAAGGGCCAATATAAAAAAGCCTAAGGGATTACTTTATTTCGAGTTCGAGCAAACCCTCACTCGATCGTGAAAGCCCAAGGGCTAACTTAACCCGTGTTCGAGCAAACTCTCACTCGAGGACTATCGATAAAGCCCAAGGGCTATCTTAACCCGAGTTCGAGCAAACCTTTACTCGAGGACTATTTATAAAGCCCAAGGGCTAACTTTACTTCGAGTACAAACAAATCTTCACTCGACTATAAAGCCCAAAGGCTACCTTACCCCATCGACTGTTGAGCCTAAGAGCTACTCAAACTAAAGTTCAAATGGTCATCCAGGGTCCATTGAACAGAAATCTTCGAAGGCAGTACTTATTGTCGGTCATTACCATCTCAGACTTTGGACATTCAAAAGGAATTTTATGCTAAGGCGCTTTGACCCGCACAAAAGGGTAGCAGATTCAGAAGCCATGGAAGGAAAAAAGCTTTGCATAAACCTTTTTACAAGGACTATAGGTCACGATCAAGAGTTCCTCGCAAGGGCTGATCAGCCTCAAAAGCGAAAAATTACGAAGAACACGAAGCCTAAGCAGCATGATCCTTATCGGCAGAAGTGTCTTCACCCTCAGAATCTTCTCCACCACCGGACTCGCTAGAGTTCTCGGAGTCTTCCTCGGGAAAGGCTGGCTTCCCAGCTTTTGTTTCCTCAGTCGCTTACGTCACGGTGATGATGTCGTGGCAAATCGGGGTAAAGATCAAGGACTCAATTCGTTTCTTATCGTTATACTCCGAAAAAATGAGGGGACTATCTGTATACGATAGAGATCGGGGCTACCCAATCTCGTAGGTTTGAGGATCACTTCAAGAGCGAGTCCGAAATAGATTGGGTCCGAGCTCGATGGTGGAGTTCGAACTTCGAAGATCAGAGTGTCCGATGAATATCTGGGCCGAGCTTGACCAGCCTCGAGATAATGCTGTTGTGGTTTTGTAACAGAAAAGGCGAGATCCCCGCAATGGACCAAAGATCAAGGCATAAATTCCAGAACGGATTTGTACGAACTCGTACTAGGCGGTTAGACAACTGTCCAATTAGATTTCTTACTAAAAACAGAAATGTACCTTATTTAGAGACAATACAAAGTATAATTGTGACGACCCGACCCGTCGTCTCATGAGTTACCGCCCCATTTCCCCCATTTTATGCTTCTTCATGTTTCATTATCGGTATTTGGTGTGTTAGAGTTGATTTGGGTTGGTTTTGGTAGGAAATGAGGCACTTAGTCTCTTTAAGGAAGGTTTAATTTGGAAAAGTCAACCGGATGTTGACTTATGAGTTCGAGGGCTCGGATGTAATTTTTGGTGATTCGGTTAGCTTCGGGGAGTGATTTGTGACTTAGGAGTGTGATCGGAAGTGATTTTGGAGGTCCGGTGTAGAATTAGGCTTGAATTGGCGAAGTTAGTATTTTGGCGATTTCCGGTTGATAAGTGAGATTTTGATCCGAGGGTCGGAATGGAGTTTCATTTGTAAATGATCTAATCATTGGCAAAGAATATACTCTCTTACTTTTCTCGCTCATTGTTCATCAGAATTGTCCTTTAACTTTATTATTCTTGCTTTACTGTTCTTGATCATCTCGAGGTCACTGGGCTCGAGGTCGATACTGCTTAGTAACACTGGTTTGATTCACTCATTTCTTTCGTTTATACTTTATACTTCTTGATTATTAATTGGTATTGAACTAAATCACATATCTTTAAAACCACAAATCAAATTTAATTGTTACTCGTATTCTCGAGGTAACAAAAAAAAATACACGTAAAAGTGGGTTTTTGCACAGCCCTTTGCATTATTTTTCTTAATCATTTGAAATTAGACAAGAGGAATAATGAATTTTAGCTATTCTTGTTCCAACCCTATCACACAACATGTCAGTATAGAATATATTTCTAGTTTGTTTTTCCTCAGATCCCTTTCAAATTAATATCTTCTTAACTAAACATCATGTCTGACTTATATACAACACAATATGAATTAAGAAGATACCGAAAATTAAAATTAAGGAATTGTTGACTAAATTTTAAGTCAAAGGACCATATCTTGATCGGAAATTTCTAAGAAATATCTTATTCAGTACATATATGATTACTTTTAGTAAGGTATTGCCAAAACGCAACCGCGTCTTTTCTAACAACATAAAAACACGGCATTTTCTACTAATCAATCCGCTTTTGCTTACCAATTCTACAATTCAAACCCATCACATATAGTATATACATTAAACCAAAGACTGAAACGACACCTATACATATTCAACTCCATTCACCAAAGGATAATATCAATCTCATCTCTATTATTACATCCTCCACACCAAAAGGAACAAAGCAATATAATTTGTACTTGATTTTTCTTGAGCCATGCCGGAATCCAACTTGAACGGAGCCTATTATGGCCCTTCCATTCCGCCACCAGCAAAATCCTATCACCGCCACGGCCGCGGCAGCAGCTGCAACCCATGTAGCTGTCTCTTTGGCTGCCTCTGCAATTGTTTTTTCAAAATTATCTTCACCCTTCTAATGATCCTCGGAGTCATTGCATTAGTTCTATGGCTCGTTCTTCGTCCTAACAAAGTCAAGTTCTACGTGACCGATGCTACGTTGACTCAGTTCGATTTGTCCACCACAAACAACACTATTTTCTATGATCTTGCTCTTAATATGACTATTAGAAACCCCAACAAACGTATTGGAATTTACTACGATTCAATTGAAGCTAGAGCTATGTATCAAGGCGAGAGGTTTGCTAGTACAAATTTGGAACCATTTTATCAGGGTCACAAGAATACTAGCAGCTTGCGTCCAGTATTCAAAGGTCAGAGCTTGGTTTTATTGGGAGATAGAGAGAAATCCAATTACAATAGTGAGAAGAATTTAGGGGTTTATGAGATGGAAGTGAAGCTTTACATGCGTATTAGGCTTAAGGTTGGTTGGATCAAAACACATAAAATTAAGCCAAAGATTGAGTGTGATTTCAAGGTACCTCTAGGGTCTAATGGCAGATCATCATCTGCTAATTTTGAGGAAACCAGATGCCATCTTGATTGGTAGTTTTCTTCTATTTTGGCACCATTATTGATCATTTTCACATTTCGATGGAGTTTGTTTCTGTTTTTCATTATTCTTTTATATTTAGATTTGTTCTATTCCCTATATTCGTTGGATATTAGCAGATATTCTTGATTTGGGATTTCTATCCCCTTTTGTTTTTCCGGCGTTTAGTGTTCATTGATATACATGGTACCATATTGTTATATTTGGATATGGTTGTATGTAAATAAATAATGAGTTCGTCTATATTTTTGCTGATTTTCTTTATTCTGGAAATTCTTTATTATCACGAGGATACTTGAGTTTGTTTATTTAGTTTGAAAGTTGATTAGAGCGTATGAGGACTGGTATGCTAAGAAGATACTAAACCTAATTTTGTTATTGTTAAATAACACGTTGACATTGTCCTTTCACAAAGAGAATATATAGTAAAGGTTAGGTTGCACCGTATAAACTATAAAGTTATAAAGGTCAAATTGAATTTGTTGATTTGAAATTTCAACTCACTCTCTTGGTCCTATTGTTCAATTTGTTTCTAGCAGCTTGATCTTAATAGTTTTTCTATAAAAGTTCCGCTTCGGAATTACGTAATAAAATACCCTACACTTCTAAGGGTGTGTTTGCTACGAAGGAAAACATTTTCCGGAAAATATTTTTCAATTATTCCATGTTTGGTTGATTTAAACTTTGGAAACCATTTTCCTCATGAACACATTTTCCTCCAATTGGAGGAAAATATTTTTCCTATGAAGGCAAAATATTTTCCAAAACTCTTTTCCAACCTTCCCCCCATTCCTCATCCCCACCAACCCCTACCAACCCACCCCCACATCCCATCCCACCCCAACTCAACCCACCCCAACCCCAACCCACCCTCGCCCCATGTGATGACCCGACAAGTCATCTAGAGCTTTAGCCCTTAATTCTATATTTCGAAACCTCAAATAGCTCCTTTTAGCCTTTCTCGATTTGCGTGCGTGTTGGCCCAAGTCCAGATGAAGTTTTGAAGATTGACAAAATGAACTCAGTCATGAACCAGGTCCATCATGTGAGACACAGTGTTGATATGCTTACACATGTGACATAAGTGTGAAGAAGATAAGTCTCAGGATCAGCAACAATATCTTCTGAGTTGATCGAAAAGGTTGCATAGGATAAGGAGTTGAAGTCTCCTTATGTAAAGAGAACTACATCCGGATCAAGGATAAGGATTGGAATTTGAGTTGTTCTAGGACTCGAATTTGATGAAGGATCAACAATTCGAGTTTTAATCAAACTCTGATTACTAACTCTATAAATAATAAAGATTGTTCTCTTTTACAGGTGATTGCACATACGCAGAAGTTAAACTAAATTGAGAGCAAAAGAGCTAGGCGAATTTTGCAAGCAATTTATGTGTGATTCAAGTGTGCAAATCTGAAGCTACATGAACCAGACTGAAGAACCAGCTCCATAAAGAGTTTTATGTGTCTTTCTTTATTTCTAGTTCAGTTGTAGTAGGTGTTTCATATTGTACCTTTCAGCTTTATCTAGAAGCAATTGTAATAGATATTTTGAGTATTCAAGTTAGAGTTAACTTGAAGGTGTCGCAACAGTTGAGGCTGTGTGCTACACTGGGATTAGAGTTTAATCCTTAGGTTTACAAGAGTTTGTAAATGCTGTTTTGGCTCAGTGATTTTAGTGGAAGTTTGGGAAAATCCTACTGAGTAGTAGGTCGTGGTTTTTTCACCTTTTGAGCCAGGTGTTTTCCACGTAAAAATCTCTATGTTCTTTACTTTATGCACTCTTAATTTCGCAAAAGAACATCTAGAAGAACTAGGTTCTTCTAGTGCGAAAATTAGGTACCATACAAATCATCCCCCCTCTTGTGTGGTATTGACGTTTAGAACATCAATTGGTATCAGAGCAGGTTATCCTTGAAGAGGCTAACACCTTAGGAGAAGATCAACAATGAGTACACCACCTGGGAATTGGGAAGGGCAATCCACTGCCAGGCCTCCACTTTTCAATGGTTTGTACTATTCTTGGTGGAAGAACAGAATGAAGATCACATTATAGGGGAAGATTATGAACTTTGGGACATAGTCACTGATAGTCCCCTAACAACCACTAAGAAGAATGCTGAAGGAATTGATGTGCCAAAAACAAGGGCTGATTGTACTGCTGAGGACCTAAGGAAATGGGAGAAAAATGCTAAGGCCAAGAAGTGGCTTGTATGTGGACTAGGACCAGACGAGTACAGCAGGATCCAAAGTTGTACAACTGCTAAGGAAATATGGGACACTCTACAAGTGGCTCATGAAGGAACACCTCAAGTGAAAAGATCAAGAGGAACACTTCTGTATTCTCAATATGAGAACTTCACTATGAAGGAAGGAGAAACTATCCAGGAGATGTATACTAGATTCACCACTTTGACAAATGAACTTGAATCTCTTGGAAGGACTATCCTTGAAGAAAACAAGGTTGAGAAGAGAACAGGAGTCCTGCCAGTCACATGGGAAAGCAAGATCACTGCCATTCAGGAATCCAAGAACATTGCTACCCTCAGACTTGATGAACTAATTGGAAATTTAACTGCCTATGAAATGAGGAGACAAACCATGAAGATGGACACCCCCAAAAAGGAGAGAAGCTTAGCTCTTAGAATTGTTGAAGGTGCAGATTTAGAAGATGATGAAATGGCTATGATCACTAGGGATTTCAAGAAGTACCTGATGAGAGGAAAAGGGTTCTTCAAGAGGTACAAACTTCAACAAATCAAGAGCTCCGGAGAAACAGACCAATGAGGGATGCTACAAGTGTGGTAAGACTGACCACATGATCAAAAACTGCCCTCAATGGAAAATTGAGTGGAAGAAAGAAAGAGCTGAACGAAGGAGCAGGAAGAAGGAACAGGTTCAACCAAAGAGAAACAAAGGTTCAACCAAGGCTATGGTTGCTGCTTGGGGAGAAACGTCAGATGAAGACTCAGAAGATGAAGCTGAGGAGGAGCAAGCACTAATGGCGGAGCAAGCACTAATGGCCATTGGAGAATTAGAGGATGAACAAGAGGTAAGTATTCTTCATCTCAAAGACAAGATTAAATTCTTGTCTAAAGAAAGGCTGGTTGAGCTATTAACAGACTTCATTGATGAGTCTGAGATAATTAATAATGAGAAGGAAGTTCTGTCTAGGGAATGTGTGATTGAAAAGCAAAATGTAAAAGTCTAGAGTCTAGGCAAATGAGAGTGATAACAAAAATACTAAGTTGAAGAACCAGGTTCTTGAACTTGACAACAGTGTCCTAGAACTTAAGTCTGAAAATCTGAAACTGAAATTAGGAACAGGAAAGAAGTTAGCTGATCACACGTCTCACTCTAGAAGAAAATTTGGGAAAAATGAAAGATGAATTATACAGGAAAGATGAATTCATCAAAGTCTTAAAAGAAGATCTAGGTAAGGTAAAACATGAACTAGACAGAACTAGCCTCTGATGCTCTTTCTTGGTTGCAAGAGCATCACAGCAGTAACAAAAGAGGACTTGGATATGGGACTCAAGCTCCTAAATGGGATCCAAAAAGCAAGTACCTCACTCTTCCTGAAAATAAAATCTGCACACACTGTGGTAAGACTGGCCATTACAAATATGAATGTAATGCAAAAGAAATGGCCAGTCAAAAGAACAAAGTTTTTGTTAAAGAAAAGAATAAGTTGCCAGGATGAGCAAGAAGGAATTTAATTCATCCTTTTGCTTATGAAAGGGACCCAACTAGTTGGGTTCTTAAGTCTAACCCTCGATTTCCTTTGTCATGTCCAAGTGAAA